GCAGGTCACGGGCTGCCCAGCCTTGCAGTAAGTGGCTTCTACTCTCAGCTACAGTCCACTCGGCAGAGATCCTCAAGTGTCACTACAACCCCGGTCAACCAGTACTACCTATCCCTCGCCTGGACTCCAGCTCCCCCAACCTCTGGTCTCTCAGCTCAGTGGTCCTCACCAAGTCTGTATCAAACCTTCACACTTCACTTGCTCTTTTACATTCAAAGGAGGAAAAAATTTAGGGCTGGACACATCCTGTAATCCCAGCCCTGGGGAGGCTGAGGCAGGAGGATAACTATGTGTTGAGCCTGGCCTCCGCTACATAGTGAGATTCTTTTTTTTTTTTGGTCTTTTTGATTCAGGATCTTGCTATATGTTCAGGCTGGCCTTGAACTCACTTTGTATCCCTGGCTAATGTTGAACTTGCAACGATCCTCCTGCCTCAGTCTCCCAAGTGCTAGGATTACAGGTGTGTGCCACCATGCCTACCTGTCTTTTTTCTTTTTTAATCAGAAATATTTATTGAGAGAAAGAAAGCTTCTGTCTGACAGACAGACAGAAGGGGTCCCAAGTGGGTTGCCCGAGATTCTGTCTTAAAAAAAAAACCTTAGGTAATATAAACTACTAAATTACAAGGGAAAAAGAGCTACCTAAAGCTGAGATATTACAAATATGATATACTTGGGAGACTGAGACAGGAGAGTTGTTACAAATTCAAGACCAGCCTGGGCTACAAAATGAGCTCAAGGCCAGCCTGAACTGCACAGGAACCCTGTCTCAAAATGACTCAAAACAAAACAATCTCCTTTTTTATGTCACAAAATGGGACAGGTTAGAAATGTCAAAGCCAATTAGTCACAGGCTTCTCCCTCTCTTGCCTGACCCTGCCTCCAGGCCCTGGACTGATCACTCAAGCAGATGTGGAAGTTGGTTCCCCTGGGCAGGTACTTTCTGTGTCCCTGAATCTGAAGGGGTTGACAAGTGACGCAGGAAGCAGCCTGTACCTGGGCTTTGGGCAAAGGCCACACAGCCGCGGGCAGGCGGAACAGAGCCCCTGCGCTGTACAGCCAGCTCCTGGCCCTGATGAGGCTCCCGAGGCCCAACTAGAGGCTCTCCGGAGCCAAGTGACCTCAATCCCTCCCCACTTCCCTGTGGCGTGGCAGAGGTACACAGAACTCTGCCACCAGCAGGCATGTGCTTCTAACCACAACCGCTTTCTATCAGGAAGTGAGGAACAACCTGCTTTTAAGTGGCTGAAAAGAAAAAAAAAAAAAAAAAAATGGGAACTTTGGTGCATGGTACGGGAAAGTCACTGAGACCCCGAGAAATCCCACCCCAAACCTCTGAGTCAACCACTGGCTTGTGTGGCTTCCTGACGGCCCACGGTCATCTTTAACCTCCAAGAATGCTGCTTCTGTTTCTCATGCTGCCAGCCCCAAAAGAAAGCCCACACAGCAAAACTTTTAAAACTCAATAAATTGGCACATACTGTTCATGTGGATTCGCCTAACAACACGACATTGCATAACACAGACATGAAGTTTAGGTGTTCCCTACGTACCTGGAACAGTTAGGGCTCCCACAGCATCTCAGACACCACTGCGGCTGAGTATGAGTTGCTTTCCCAGTATCCTCATTCCACAAGAAGCAGATTTTCAGCTTGAGATGTCACAAAATACCGGGGCACCACGGATGCCTGAGGCTCAGTCCCAGCAAAACAAGGTTGCACAGATTGAAAGTTTTTAAAACCTCAATCTGCTCAGAATTTAATATGAAAGAAATCTGCTTCTACAACCCAGATGTTAGTCTTAATTTGCCTTTCCTGTGGAGGCCACATCTGATGGCAACAGAAGAGAACATAGTGTCACAGAACACACACAACCCAGGACTGCAAGCAGGGCTCAAGAGGGACACGATGTTCTCCCCAGGGCAGTGACAGGGTTTCCTGGGCCGGGAGCGGTGCTCTGAGCTTTCAGGGCAGTCACAGCAACAACTCCAGTGTACAGCACTGACTGCTACCCTGAGCATCGGGACTGACCGCTCAACAGGTGGACAGTCAGGAAGTTAGCTGCTCGGCCTAACAGTAGAATGAAAAAATCATTCACCCCTGAAGGTGCCATGAACAAGAGCCTGGCCCTCTGGCTCACATTCACACCAAGTTCCTATGTAATCTGGCTGGAAAATTGCAGGAGAGTTTCACCCCAGGAATGATCTCCAATAGCTAACACCCCTGTTCATTCTCCGCCCGCGGACTTTGGGAAGGACACATCTGGACAGTAACATGGATGCTGTCCTAAAGATGGAAAAAGGAGCACATTTATTTTCCACCAGCAAGAGCCCGGTAAGCTTCCTTCGACAGAGGTCAGCATGAACCTCTGTTAGCCTGGGAGGAGAGGCATCTGTCTACAGGCTGACGGGAAGTGAAAGCAGCCCTGACCTGGGCCCCCGGCGAAGAGATGGATGAAAGACAAACACATGTGATGATGTGAAATGACACCCTTGTCCTAACTCTGGGGCCAGTGAAATGACAGAACTAGATCACTCCAGCCAACATTAACTCCTTTACTTCCAGTCCAAATAATCTTTAAGCATGCAAAGCTCTGATTCAGCCAGGCATACTGGTGCATGCCTGTAATCCTCGAGCTCAGGAGGCTGAGGCAAGACTGCCCAAGTTTGAGGCCCGCCCGGGCTACATCACTAAGTTCAAGGCCAGCCTGAACTTTACACAGTCAATCAACCAAACATAAATAAACTCTGGGGGGAAAAAGCTCCAATTCTAAACATTCAGACTATGTTCTCCAGATAGCATTCCCATCAAAATGAGGCAGGTTCCCTGGGGAAACATCAGACTCCAGGCCTGGAACCAAAAATATACAAAATGAAGGAAAAAAGAAAAAAAAAAAAAAAAAACCCAAAAACTTCAATTTTTTCCCTTTTCTGTTTTTGTTCTGAAACAAAATGGATTTAAAAAAAATTTTAAAATACACAAATATACAAGATGGGCCTAAAATTCTTGTCATACTAAAGCAAAGAAGCCAACACAGGACACAAAATCTACTATGAATTTTTAAAGAGGCAGAGAGCAAAAAAAGTTCCCCAGGAACCTTGGGGACAGCGCATTATCAGCAACTTTACTTCCTCCTCTACAACATGTCCAGCTTGTATAACAGGGCTGAGGAAGCGTCAGCAACAGCCACCAGCAGGTCCCCACCTCCTGACACCTACAGCGCAGCTGACAGGCCATTCTGAGGAGCAGGATGGCTGCTGGGGTGAATTTCAATGTTTCAAAGGAAAAAGTAATTGTTTCCTCTAAAAAGCTGGGGGGATATGTATTTTAGTGCCTTTCTCACTGCTCTGAAACAATCTAAGCACCTGTTCCATGAATTTTCTTCTGAGAAAAAGATTCCACTGAGCAGTGTGGGCACCCCAGGACAGGCAGGGGGAGGGTCTCACACATCTGGTTGAACAACTTTATGGTTTCTCAAATTCAAGTCTCAAACTGAACCAGGTGTGCTAGGAAACTTCTGGAGACAGAGGCAGGAGATTCTGAGGCTGAGGCTGACGTGGGCTACACAGAGCTCAAGGCCAGCTGCTGATACCCTATAAGACCTGCTTCAAAAACAAAAGCGGAAGCTGGGGATTTAGCTCAGCCGCATAAACTCCTGCCTGGCAAGCACCAGGTTTCAAGTTCTGATCCCTGGTACCAAAATAACAAAAACAAAAACAAAAGCAAAGCAAACCAGGAGTGGTGCACATGCCTCTGAAATCCCAGCACTCTGGAGCCTGAGCCAAGAGGTTTGCAAAAGTTCAAGCTCAGTCTGGGCATCTCAGTGAGACCCAGACTCTAAATTAAAACAATAAAGTGGCACAAAATCTCAGAAGAGTTAAAAACTTTAGAGCCAATAGTTCTCAGAACTACAAAATTGTAACTGGCTATTTCTGTAAAGGAATTGACCCAGGAGGAATCCCTCAGAGGGCTGGGGAGGGCATTCTGCAAACCCCAAGGGCCTCTCAGCCCTACTCCTTCCAGGGGTCCTGTGCTTCTGCCTGAAGCAGAGGTTCTGGTCCAGCCCCGGGCATTCAGGGCGGGCTCGGGAGACACACAGACGCAGACATGCTGACCGCCTGAACACTCAGGAAGGCCTTACTGCACTGTACACAAGGCAGGAGGGGTGCTCAAACTGTTCCCGAGAGATCTAAAATCCACAACTCTACACGTTGCTCAGCATAGTTATCCCGTCTTCTGTCCACTCTGACCCCAGCCTGTCTCATCCCCCCCACATCCTTGTCACCAGTGCTGAGCCCAGTACTGCACACTGCACGAGGCACGGGGCTCGATGCAAAGATGACACAGTGGCCTGGAGGATGGGCACCTCCATCCAACCCAAACTACAGTTCTAGCATCACTTACACAAATTACCACTGAGTTCAACGATGCTTCCAGTAAAGAAATGTTTCCTAAACTCATATCTGGTGGGTAAAAATTTTAATGGAAGAACAACTAACAGTAGAACAGAAATCACCTAAATTCTTTGACTAAGGTTTTCTTTTTGTTGTAGACAAAGCCTGCCTACATATTTAGGCTGGCTTCAGAGTCACAGCGAGCCTCCTGCCTCAGCCTGGGTTTACAGGGGTGACAGCACACCCCATTTTGACTAAGGTTTTCATATACAGGACTAACTTTAAAGATATGGCAACTTTGTATTTACATATAAATTTGTATTTTTTGGTTTAGTTTCACATGAAATAGTCACGCTGTGTAGAACTGACATGTATGTAGTACTACATTCCACAGTTTAATAACTCAGATTCCAGTTCCATAACCATGGATAACACATCGGAATATTTTTATAATACACAAGTTGAGCCATCTAGGATATATGGAAAACATAACGGGTTTCATTTCACAATGAATCCTTTGGTGACTAAGCTGCTGATGAAATGTCAGCACCAAGAAAAAGCATTAGACACTCGGCAGAGCGAGGGAGTCTCCATGTCATGGCACCTACCGTGGTGTCACTGCTGGTGACGTAGACCAGGACATCGGAGGCGTTCCTGCCGTTGATGTATCTGTAGCAGTTCCAGACACAGCTAATCAAGTAACTCTGAAAGACAGAGTGGTCGTTACTCTTTGTTTCTACAGATCTGGTAAAATACCTCATAGACAATGCCAGATTACACAGCTTGTATTTACATGACCTAAATACAATGCAGCAAAAAAGCCTGACTGTGAAAAAAAAAAGGGAGGGGGGGCCCTAGGGTTTAGCTCAGCGGCATAAGCGCTGGCTTGGCAAGCGCAAGGTCGTGAGTTCAATCCCTGGTTCCACGAAGAAAAAACAACAAAAAAAAAGCCTCACTGTGGTGTGGATGGTAGGAGGGGCAGGAACTCTGAAAGTAGAATAAGAAATCGCCCTGTTGTTTCGTTTTGAGTGACAGGATCCTGCTGTGTCACCCAAGCTAATCTTCAACTCGCCTCTGTCTCCAGGTACAAGACATTTCTAACAAAACCAACAATTATTGCCCCTTACAGAATCATTAAAAGTTACTAATCCACTGATCACTACATTTTTACTTCTTGTTTCTTTGGGAATTTCTATTGTACATGATTGTCTATGATATTACTACATATATCAATTTTTAAAAAGTCAACTTCACAGCACACAAATTCACTTCACGGGCCATGAAATTCACTAAAACATTTTTATTTTTGTAATGACATAATCAAAAAAGATGTTTATTAAAATACTGTCCAGAATAAGGACGTGGTAGCGCGTGATGGAGACGTCCACCTGTAATCCTAGCACTCAGTGTGAGCCTCTGCCTGCTACCTCTAAAAGCCACTAACTTGCTTCAGGGCCCTCATTTCTTTCTTGACATTTCTGTAATCCTGAATTAGAGAATTACGTGTTTCATGTGTCACACAAGTGAACGTGCAGTCACACACAGCCCCCCAACTCTGCAGGGCAGGGCGGTGGGCACTGCCTCCTCTTTAGCCTTAGCAGGGAGAGGAACTAACAAAGGCCTGGCCTGGGGCTTCCAGGAAACTGACGCGGCAACGAACCTCAGAGGAGTAAGGGGGAAGTGGGCAGGGAGAGGCCCTGCTCCCGTGACCTGCTCTGGGAAGCACGCCGCCCGTGTTTCAGCTGCGGAACAGTGCGTGCAAGGCAGCAGCTCGGCACTATGAGGGAGACACAGTGAGGGCAAGAGCGCGGGGGCACGAGGCAGAGGCAGAAATAAACCCAAGATGCGTCCACTCGGGGGGGAGGCGGCACTGGCAGGACACCGTTTCTGAGACTCTGGGACTGAACCCAGCCAGGACTTAGGCTCCACACTCCATGCCTAGCCATTCCTTCCATTTTATTGAGCTCACTAAGTTAACCAAGGAGACAAAAACTTGTGATCCTCCTGCCTCAGCCTCCCAAGTGCTGGGATTATAGTCTCTGTGCCAAGTTAAAAACCCTTTCTTGGTGCCAGCTTTGGGGCTCCTGGTAGTGGCAGAGGTAGCCAGGTCACAGTAACCTTCCTGCTGGCAGAAATTATAAATCTGAAATACACTAACGTATTTTTAAGGCATGACCCAGTGATCAAAAGCATTCTGGGAGGCTGAGGCAGGAGGATGCAAGGTATAAGTATAGCCTGGGCAACTCAGTAACTTAGCCAGACCCTCTCTCAAAATTAAAACTGAAAAAGGGCAGGAATGCAGCTCAGGGTAATGGCCCCAAGTTCAATTCCCAGCACCAGGGCTGAGGAAAAAACAGGCAGAAGAAAGGGGAAATCTACCCTTGAGAGAGGAGCCTCCGTGACAGATTCACCAGCTGTGGCCTCTCCTGGGGCAAAGCCAGCCATACGTGCAAACAGCCCAGCTGCACTGGCCCAGAAGTCAGGGTCAGCCCTAGGGGACCAGGGAAGGACCAGGGAGCCAGAGAGCAGAGCAGAGGTTGGCAAGCAGCAGCCCCAACACTCACACATAAAACTCTCCTGAAGCCCCCACGACGGAGCTACACACACAGCACTGCAAATTCAGTTTGTCTCATGGCAGGAAGCGCAGGTCACTCCCTTTGCTCTTCGTGGTGCTGGGGCTGGACCCAGGTCTTTGTGCAGGCCGAGCAGGTGCCTGCCTCTGAGAACCGCACTCCTGCCCCTCGACAGATTACTGTATTACCTACTCGGGATGACTTTTCTCCCTAAATGTAGTTTCCTGAGTGAAGCCTGATTTTTGAAGAATAGGACAACTTTATACCAGAATAACGACAATGAAAAATATGAGTTAAAAACCCAAAGTATAAAAACCAGTTGAGATTTTCCCATTGACAGCATGTGAGTGTGGATTACAGCAGCTCCGTAAGTAGACCAGAATAGGCAGTACTCGATTGAGGAAGGCGAGGCCATGTTGTTGACAAGAGACAAGGTATTTACCTTTTGGGGGATCAATCTGAATCCATCACAGGCCTTCACACTATGCGTGCCCTTTATTTTAAGAAAATCTATCCTGAAATAAGCGCCTATGTATCTCCGTAGCACTAGTTGACGTTAGACATTTGCTTCAATGTCCACAAACTTGTAAGTAATGATATTCACAAAATATACGGATACAGAATATTTTAAAAACAAGTAATAGGTCAAGCGTGGTGGAGCATGCCTATAATCTCTGCCCTCAGGAGGCTGAGGCAGGAAAACTGCTCTACATTTTGAGGCCAGCCTGAGCTACATAATAAGTTCAAGGTCAGTCTGAACTACATAGTGAGACCATCTCAAAACAAGGATAAAACAAAGAATGCCTACTACATGGACCTTGTATCACATGTTGCAGTATTATATAGTATATAATGTATAACACTGAACTAATTAATTCAATCCTAGCCAAAAACAGTTTAGAATAACCTTTGGCCACCCTGAGGCCTTGATTCTATGCTTGGTGTTTAGTCCTCATACAAACTATAGGCAACCAAAACGCAGTTTAAAAAATAAACTGACTGGTTTTTCTGTGGCATTCAGGAATACTTTTAATAATATCTGAGCTCCAACTAAACTCTCATGGTTTGTATCTAGACGCCCTCCCAAAGCCTCATGTGCTCACAGGTGGCACTTTCGGGAGGTGACTGGATTACAGGGGTGTGATACCTCTATGGGTTTCTCCACTGCGGAGTTCATAGCTAAACATGATGTTGGAGAGGAAGCCCGGTCGGAGGAGGCTGAGCGTGGTATGGATCTATCTCTCTCCTCTTCCTCCCTTGATCTCTCGCTCTGCTTCCTGCTCCTCTGCCATACCTGCCCTGCCCTGGAGCCAGCTGACTATGGACTGAACCCTCTATGAACTGTGAGCCAAAATAAACCTATCTTCCTTAGTGTTGTGGGCCTGGGTATTGTACCTCAGTGCCAAGAAAGTAACTAGAACACCAGTGCTTACCTTAAATGTCAAGATAATGCTGAAAAACAGAAGGATAATAAGGACCAAACAGGTAGGGTTCACCGACATGATATCATCTCTATAGGGAATTTCAGGGGGCTGCAAAAGAAAAAGACCTCGTTAGCAAATCTCAGGCATTCGAGATTACACTCCTGATGCATGAGTTCACACGTGTTTATCAGAAAACAACAGGGAAAGTAGACAATTATTCAGGACCAATATAACATTCCTCACCTACTACTCATGAAAAAACTAGCAAAGGTGTAACAGAAAGGCACATCTATTCTTAATCTGCAAGTAACTTCAGTAAAGCAAAAGAGGACTCAGGCACAGTGAGCCCTAAACATGGCACTTTTCCCTGCAACCATGCAAAGCGAGAAGCGGTGGTCTCCAGCAGGGCTATTTCCTGCACCTCTGGTACCAGGATTTGAGGCATGCTCTGGACCTCCTAAGGATAGGCACAAGGCAAGGGGGAGAAACTCGCTCTTGGGGGATCTTTTATGCTGTTACTGCTTCCCAAGAAGCAGCTTCTCTTATAACAGGAATCTGCCTAATTTAAAAAAAAAAATCAGGATTTGTGTATGGATCAGGGGTGCAGCACTTGCAAGTACTTGTGAGGCTCTGGGTTTGCTTCTAGCACTGCGATGAATGAATGAACCACTGAAAATCAAGTCTTTGGCTGGGTGAGATGGTATATGCCTGTAATTCCAGCAAGTGGGAGGCAAAGGCAGGAGGATCGCTGCAAATTCAAGGTCAACCTGGGCTACAAAGTGAGTTCAAAGCCTGCCTCAATTGCATAGTGAATTGCTGACTCAAAGATAACAAAAACAAAAACAAAAAACCAAGTTCCCTCATCTAGCCACAGGTCACAGGAAACCTGTGGAGGACCCAACTCTGCTGTGGCTAGCACCAACCCCCACAGCTGCACAGCCTGCCCCGTGACTCCGGGATGGTCAGGGTGTAGCTAGGGAGGAGCAGAAGGCACCTCTGTGACTCAGCAACACCCTGGGCTGGCTCTCAGATCCTCCACTTTGGGCAATATTTCGAAGAACCAGAATCAAAGTCATTTTCTGTGATCAGCTCATAAAATCCTGGAAAGGTTCCTAAAGGGTAAGAATGGCTTGGTGCTGTTTCCAAGATCAATAAGAAAACGTACTCTGTGTGTGGTCTAATTAAAAAAGAGAGCTGGGGCTAGGGATTTAGCTCACTGGCATAAGTGCCTGCCTGGCAAGTGCAAGGTCGTGAGTTTGATCCCCGGTACACCTAAAAATAAAAATCAAATAAAACAAAATAATCACCAGAGAGAGAGAGAGAGAGAGAGACAGAGAGAGAGAGAAATCCGAAAGCCAGTTGTGGTGGTGTACATCTGCATCCCCAGCACTCTGGGAAGCTAAAGCAAGAGGATCTCAAATTCGAGCCCAGCCTGGAAAACAGTGAGATCTTCTGGGAGGGAGGGGATGGTACTGTTAACGTAGCTTTGTGCAATGCAAAGGCCCTGTGTACAACTCCCAGTACCAAAAAAAAGTTCAGGGACTAAGAACTATTGGAGAATTCCCTGTTAGTAGCACATCAACACAAATCATACATGACCTGGGATTTTTCAGGAGACAGGGTCTCTGCCTCGGCCTCCTGAGGGCCCCAGGCATGGGTCACCATGCACAGCTAAAATGAACTTCCTATAATCAGACTGACAAAGAAGAAAAGGACACTGCTGATGGGAGTGAAAATCCCTTAACTTTGGGGGGACCACCTGATCTCCCCGAAGGCACCAGTGATTGGTTTTCTTAAGCCAGAGTCTCGTTACATACTTCAGCCCAGCCTTGAACTCACCATGCAACCCAGGCTGGCCTCAACGAACGGTGATCCTCCTGCCATGGCCTCCTGAGCACTGGGTCACAGCTGTGGCCCACCACGCCCAGCCAGGACAGCAGTGTTTTGAGAGCGAAAAGCAAGCTGCTGCACGAGTACTCCACTGCCCAGCCAGGGCCCTGGCCAGTGTAGATTATCTCGGGCAGCAAACCAATGGGGCTTAGTGTGCTGAGTCTGCCAGGGGCCATGCGCAGGCTGAGCAGGGCAAGGCTGTCACCAGGTCACAATTCCCCCGCCACGGCTTACCAGCTGCCGTATGTACTCCTGAATGGAGTTCGGGTACACGAGCACAGTGATTGCAACCAAGGTGTTCAAGGCGAAGTCGAAAATCTGGTAGCAGAAGAACGGGATGATCCAGGCCGAGCGTTGCTGAGCACAAGGAGACAGAAGGTTAGGGCCAGTGCTGCCACAGAACAGGCAGTCACTGCATTCAGAGACCTTATATTACCCTAAGGGGACGTGGAGGACCTGGAATTCATGAAACCAGCAACTGTTGTGCCACGTGGAAGCAGGCAACAAATGCGTCTGGGACTATAGAATACCACTCTCACTGGTTTTCCCAGTACCATGTGATGCTCAAACTTGCCATCGAGTCTTAAAGGAGACCGAGGAGTACTCCTCTGTGAGCACCAGAGAAAATGCAGCTTACATTCGTGGTGCCGAACCTATGGCACCCATGCTCAGCAAGCTGTCTGCATGGCTGCCAGCCCGAGAGGTTCGCTGTCGCAGGTCTGTGAGCACTGGGGTGCAGGGCCAGCTCCTCACCTTGTATGCGCCGTAGGTCGCCATGGCACAGATCACGATCATGAGCACAGAAATCGCGATGGCAATATATATGTCTGTCAAAGGTCAAAACACACACGGTAAGTGACAGGGCCACTGTGGAAACAGTGAGTTTCTCCTTAAAGCCATTTGGTTATAAACCAACTGTAAATAAAAACCTTATGCTAAACAAACCATCAGTTTTGGTTTCTTTGAAAGTTGGAGTACGTGGTAGTTAATGGGAGGGAAAGTGTCCAAAAAATGTTCTCCCAGAGACACAGAAAAGACAGACTACTTCCAAATATCAAAATAACTCTGGCCTTCTGATCTACTATGTATATATAAATCCTATAATAATGAAGCAGATATTCTTTTAAAGTTCTATAGGTGCCATAAAAGCATGTGCACCCCGTGGTTCTAACTGAAATCTCTGCGTGGGTGTGACAGCCCAGTCATTCCAAGTGTCCCTGCCTCTCCAGTCCTGCTCACCACAGCCCAGCTACAGAATCTGGTTCCTCACACAAAGCAAGATCACAGTACCGTGGTGGCACGCACCTATAATCCTATCACTTAGAAGGCTGAGGCAAGAGGATTGCTGCATTTGAGGCTAGCCTCAGTTACGTAATGAGTTCAAGACAGTCTGAACTACATAGCAGAACCCTGTCTCAAAAAAACCCAAAACCAAAACCAAACAAAAAGATCACAGTACTATGGGACCCACACGTGCCATCCCGATGACTAGAAGCAGCTCTGTCATACTGTCATGCAATCAGCACTGGGGTCCCAGCTCCACGGTCAGCAAGGTTACCATGAACTGAGATGAAGAGAAAGATGAACATGCATGCTGATTCTAAGGATTTAGTAGAAAGAAAATAATGCATAACACCTCGCTCACCCTTTTTATACTGAGCACACAATACTATTTTGCATATATAGTATTTAAAAATTAAAATTAATCTCCCTGGTTTCTCTTTGCCTTGTCTACTAAACAATTATATTATGACTTGTATGATTACAATATATTCCTAATAAACGATGCTGACCTAGGACAATGTCTATACTGTAGTAGGCACTAACTGAACATTTGTTTATTCAGGTCCATACATTTAAGAGACTCTCATCTTTTTGTAAATTTTTTTTTAAGTCTCACTATATAATCCATGCTTGTCTGGAATTTGCAATATTCGTCCTGCCTCAGCCTCCTGGGTGCTTGGATTTATAGGCAGGTGCCACCATACCCAGCTAGGAGATGCTAATTAGAAGTTCAGTATAACTAGGTCAACATATGTGCGCATCACACCGATGCAGAAAAGTGTCTGAACAATGCCTGACAGTTTTCAAGGCATTTTTCACAAATCCTTTCATCTTCCTGACTAGGTGTGGGATACTGTTCTTAGAACGAACTGTCTGAGCCAGCATTTGTGTTAAAAGGCTAAGCTATGACTTCGAATTTCTGCTCCCTTCTTCTGTTCTACCTACCCTGTTCCAGACTCTGCCAACCCTGACTACCCAAGGACCACGCCAGGCCGCACATCGGCTGTTGATCTTTCCCCAAGGCCAGCGCACTAGCTTTACTCACAGGCAGTCCCTGAAGGGAAGCTGCAGGCTGAGAACATTCCAAGCAACTGACATACAAAGCACACTTCCGGACAGAAATGCAGATATGGGGCTGGGGATTTAGTTCAGCGGCATTAAGCGTCGGCCTTGCAAGCATGTGGTTTTGAGTTTGATCCCCGGTACCGATAAAAAGATGCAGATATGCATTAAAATTAAAATACTACTGTTCCTTACATTAAAACTAGAGGTGCATCTGAAGATTTCCGTCCTTCCCCAGAAGATAAATGGAAGCTTGAGATTATTGGTAGCACCCTTTTGAGATTAACTGTATAAATAAACCATTATCTCATTGGGGTGGGCCATCCTCTCCCCCCCACTAAGACTAAGACCTAAGCTACTAACACTAAGACAAAGACTAAGACTACAGATTATCCACCAGGGTTAAATGACATCATCCTTGTTACCAGTGGATCAATATTACCTAAGCAACTAAACCTGTGATCTACCTTGTATGTATGTACCCCTCGTGACTTTGTTCTGTAAAACTTCCTTTGAGGAGTGGGCTCCTTAGCAACCCATTGGGGACCCTACTGTCTCTTGGGAGCAATTCCTACATGCCATTCCTTTTCCCCAATACATTTTCCTAGTCTTAAAGTCACTGCTCCTTAGTCTACGGAGTGGGGGGGGGGTAGCTCAGTGGCAGACAAGCACCTGCCTGGCAAGCCATGAGGTCATGAGTTCCATCCCCAGTACCAAAACATAAAATAAGTCAGTCAGTCTATAGGTTGAACACAACTAACCTTGAAGACGCACACGACTCTTACAGAAGTGAACAGGTGAGTCTCAAAAGGAGGCAAAAGGGATGGTAAGAGAGTCAGGAGATAATCAGTATTGCTTGTCAAAAGAAGAGGATTTCTCTTAAGATAAACACATATTGCAGCTTATTCTAACTTTAATGCTTACTTAGCCTCCCATTATTCTTGGGTCAATGGGGAGGACACATGTGAGCTCATTTCACACGCAAACCCTAGAGCCAAGGTACCTAACTCCTGAAAGGCAAAGAGAAAGCCTGCTGGCGCACTCTGACCAGTACAGAGTGCACCCGGGGCTCCGTGTGCATATGGTGGGGGTAGATCAGGCTTGGATTCCCGCAGGAAGCTATAAGCACAATGGACACCCACGGTCTGGCAACTCCTCTCCCATCTCTTCAGGGTCCCGTCTCCCCAGTAACCGCTGCTGCTACTCCATTTAATTCTCCCAACAGCATGTGAGCTGAGGGCGACTGCCCCTATTTTAGAGAGGAGAAGGATGGCTGAGAGGACAAGGAGCTTACCCAGGATTGCCCCGCAGCGGCATGAGACAGATGTTCCACCCAACGAGCTTGACCCTCACGCCAACAACCCCCGACACTACGCTGCCCAGCTGTGACGGTGCCAGGGGCTGACGCCACCACACATGAGCACCTGCAAAGCCTACAGGTTTGCAGCATCTGAAACTTGGACTCGGGTGGTTTATTTTCTTCTCCATCTATTTTGACAGTTTTCTAAATCCTATCCAAGCATACTGAAAAAAAACAAAAATCGAGGCTTTATTTTAAAACTGAACATATTATCTTCCAAAGAAATTATTTAATGAAAACTGCCCAGACTATTCTTTAAAAATAAATAACAAAACCTCCAGAACTAAGTGTCACTTAGTCTTATTTGTGTTTGAGACCAGGTCTCACTATGCAGTTCAGACTGACCTGGAACTTACTATGTAGCCTTGGTTGGCCTTAAACTTACAAGGGTGATCCTCCTGCCTCAGCCAAGGGCTGGGGTCACAGCCATGCGTGGTACCATATGTGGGTGAGGGGATCAGGCTTGGGTAAAGGCAACAGGGCATGGAACTCAGTTACTGTGCTTGGGTAGAGGCAGGCAGAGCGGGATAAGACCATCTGCCAGGAACAAATAATTGTTTCTTTCACAGAGGTGGAGACAGGCAGGGAACCCTGGGTGGGAAGATCCCAATAAACACCTGTGGTCAAGGTTCTCTGGCAGTCTTGCACCTCAGTGGGCAGCGTCCTTGAAGTGTTCAGGTATAAATTTGTGGGTGTCTCCAAACATTCCTAGTGATGTCCTAGAATGTTATCTCCTTTCCTGTGGTTCCCAACAAAACTTCAGGTGTGGAGCTGAGTTCCCTGCAGGGAGCAGTGCTTCTGCTGGCTGGGGTTTGGGGGGTGGGCTGGTTAGGGCAGGTTGGAGCCTGATGCGCTCCACCTTGTCGTGGTTTAATCCTAATTTTAAATGTCTTTTCTAACTAGGCATGGTCATGCAAGTTCCCCCAGCATTCAGGAAGCCGAGATACAGCTAAATCTAGTCTTTTGTAAATGATATAAAGCTCAAATGTAAAAGGCACAAATAAAAGAATTTAAAAAAATATGCTACTGAAGTAGAAGAAATAAACGTAGGTAGAAAAAAACTAATTTTAGGGGCTGGGGATTTAGCTCAGCAGCGTAAGTACCTGCCTTGCAAGCAGGCGGTCATGAGTTCGATCCCCCGTACCAATAAAAATGAAAAAGACCAAAAAAAAAAAAAAAAACCTAATTTTAAAACTGTACTTTTAGGAAAGCTGCAACTTTAGGACACAAAGTTACCCAAGATTGCAAAATTTTTCTCCTTCCAGGAAATGCACTCCAAAAATGCTCCTGAGTCAAAACCACACTGAGTCTGTAACACAGTCCCTCCCTTGGGTTTCACGTGTAGAATGCACTCTTCGCTGCTTTTCAACTGTAAATTGGATGCCAGATTTCTACACTGACAAACACCACATATTTCTACGTCCAAATACATCCTAGCCCAGCCCCTCAGCCACCTCACCACAGTGCACGCAGCTATGCGCCTCTCCCCGAACTAGTGTTATAACCTAAGCCCCCCTAACTATCCTAAGGTCTGTTCTAAGGTATAAGCCCACCTGCTGCTTCCCCTCCCCTTCTTCCTTCAAATCTAACTAGGTTAAGTTTTAACTTCCTAATAGCTCCTGACAACCCGGGTCTTCCCTACCCAAAAGGACCCGGTAACCCGTCACAAATTGTGTTAATTGCATTAGATTGTACATTCTTCACAAAAATAGCTTCGTTTGTATCATAGTAATACCTGTAACTTGGCCTTATTGTAAATGTGTGTTTTCCTTTCCCTCTGGGCAAAGGATTGATATGTTAATCAATGCTCTCCTCTGTAAAGAATTGTAAAATCTTACCTAATTGATACGTTAACCATTGTTGCCCTCTACAAATAGAACAGTTGTGGTGCTAAAGTAAGGTAACTAAGGTTGTTAATTGCTGTTAGACTTTTCTATTCTTTGCTAAGAAAAACAAGATTCTTCTTATCTAAACTTGCTAGTATGCAGGGAGACTTGCAATTGCCGTTTCTGCTTTGTAGTGCGTCACACCCCCATACCCCTCCTTAAATTGTGTGACCAGCAGCTGTTTGTAGATTTACAAGATAAAAAGTCCTGACTTTTAGCTGTGAGGTGCGCAGTCTCCAAACTGGCTCCCAGAGACTTGTCACCAGGCCTGGATTTTACCTAATAAAGCCTTTGCTTCTCAAACTTTAATTTCTTGCTTTCTTGGATTTTATACCGGGATCCGAGTTATCACACTGGCAAGGTACACTCCCGGCTCTGCAAACAACCCAACAGAGCACGCTGCAGTCTTCCTTCATTAAATTCCTCCTGCCTTAATAATGCAGTCTAATTTGGAAAGGATCCTGAGCTACAGCACAGGCACAAATGGCATAAATGGAAAACATTTTCCATACTCAATTAGTCATTTAGACTAACCATACAAGCTACCTGAATTACCTTTACTCAATCTATTTCTAATTTCTCTGTTGGGTTGGTTTACTTCCCATAAAACTTGCACCTAGGTGCATGTTCCCACACCTTGCCTAATGGCAACCCAGTCTTATGTCCAGAGTTGCTACTCTTCTAGCCACATTTCTGGCCCTGTGGTACATGAAAACAGTATTTTGAATATAGTGTCACAAGAAGTGTACACTGTTTTTGGCAGTCCACTGCTACTTGTGAAGAAGTTGTGACAGGGTCAGGGACCACAGCAATGGGGAGAGAGGCAAAATCTTGGGCTCACCTGCTGCATCCTCCGTGGTGGCCAGTTCTTGCACTCACAGGCAGGCAGAGCCCTGGTCACTAACCCTAACCCAGCCCCCACTTCTCACACAGGTGGAGGAGCCTGGGGAAACTCCTGGTTGGCAGACTCTACCCAAAAGCTTAGCTATGAGTTCTAGCAAAGGAAGAAGACAGGAATTTCAGAGAAAACCAACCAAGGGAGGAGTTCAGGGGCGATGGCATGATCTTCAGCCAAAAGGAAGAATGAAGAATTTATCAAGGTCTTTTGTATCTGGGCTGTCATTTTCCCCCTTTATAATTCAGATATCTCAGAATTCATCTTTTTAACATGTATACCTCAATGGCTTTTGTCAGTATCTTCACAAAGCTGCAGAACTATCAGTGGCAGAACCCTTTCCCCCTTCCAAGAAGCACCCTGACCATCTCTAGCAGTCAGCATCACTGACAGCCCTGAACTCTCCCCTGTCCCCGGGGAGCAGCCTATCTTGCAGGCTCTGTGGCCTTTTGTGGCCACCTTCGTTCAGTCCATAAAATAATATACTTCAATGTCAACTTGAGAAATTTTCTCTGCTCTCAAAGATGAAGCCTTTAGCTCCTGCCAGTTACAATCTTAGATTGAAATATTTGTATTTACTTAACTTTCACTAAGAAAAACCAACAAACTTTTTTGTTATTATTTTCACTAGGGTACCAAACTGTGTGACTTGACCTCAGGAAAATAAACTTAATAAACATATGATCTATATGGCAAAATTCCCTGGACACTAAGGAAGACCTGAGTAACTGGAATGCATACTTTATAAGAGGACTTTTTGAAAAAGCTATGCAAGAGTCATATTTATCAAAGATTCTTGCAAAAATTTTTCATTTAAAAAAGTTTCATGACGGGCAAATCTTACCATCAAGAAAGCTATTGCTGAAAAAAGATGTTATATATATAAGACACACATGGAAAGCTGTCAAATTAAACAGTCACTAACAAATACACAAACGGATTTCCTGTGAAATGGACAAGCTGATGCTAAAACACAAAAAGCAAATTACTAAATCAAAGAGTTTTCGGCACATTTAGAAGACAGAATAGAAAGTAAACGGGGAAGATGACCTCAAGGTAAAACCCCTTGGTGTCGCCTCCCACTGCTGCAGTATCCTATCTAGGGAAAATCCTTTCACTAAGAACAGTCGTAACATTACTTTTTGTTTTGGCACTGCTGGGAACTGAAACCCAGGGTCTATACTGAGCTACACCCCCGAACTCTTGCATTTTATTTTTAAATTTTGACACTGAGTCTTCTCAGTAAGTTGCAACTGTCAACCCTGCTGCCTCAGTCTCCCAGTGTGTTAGAATATTACAGACATGAAGCTTGCTGTGGTGGTACATGCCTGTAATCCCAGCACTCAGGAGGCTGAGGCAGGAGGATCATTTCAAATTCAAGAGCAGCTGGTGCTACAAAATGAGTCCAAGGCCAGCTTGAACTGCATAGCAAGAACCTGTCTCAAAAAGGCAAAAAAGAATTACATGGCACTGTACCAAGCTGGAACATTTCTTAAACAGGATAAAGCTACACTTATCTAATCTACAGGGCACGATGTAGTGCAGTGGCCCCGCACATGTACTCTCAGGACCTAATGTGCTTTCCTATTTTGCAGTGACTGGAATAAGCCACAGTCTCCACTTTCTAGACTGCTCTGCAGCTGGAGTGTGGTGCTGGATTCAGATTTTCCATGGGGGTCTCTCCTTTGTCAGGCTGTGTTAGGTAGCTCGAGTCCTCTCTGTGACTAGGCCAACCATGAGCTCTGTCCTTGGTCAGTTTAGTCCCCTTTTACCTTGGTACCTGATCACTCTCAGACCTGACTGAATTCTTGTGGAAACAAAGAACTGCTCTGTTTAAAACTTTGTTCTTTTTGTAACTGTCTAGCTCTGTAACTGCTTCATGGCTCTGTAATTATTTTCTCGACCCCTGCAACCCTGAGAGCATAATCAAACATGCAGTAGTCTGACTGTAACGAGCTCCAAGATCACTAATCTAGCCTTGAACCGCTGATCTCACCTGCTAGCTGATCGGAGAACTGCCAGGCTGTCCTGCCTCACCTTCGCATCACAGGGAAGGGCGAGCCCACAAGCACTCGGCTCTTGGCCCTACTGTGGGGAGTGACCCCAGCCAGGACCACCGGTGTGAACGGAGCTGTTCTCTGCCTCCAGACCACCTCAGGTGGTGTTTTTCCACTCCCAGGCTCCATTTTGCCACAACACAACCACTTATGTCTCCCTGCACTTACTGTATCAGAGCAGAAGCACAACAGCGTCATTTAAACCTTTTTCCAACCCCGGTTAGGTCAGGAACGGAACCCTCAATCTTGGAAACCGTGAAAGTGAATATGTTTTCAAATGTCAACGGAACATTTCATGTGCAGCTTACACAGCCCTTAAACTCAGACTACTGCAATATGAAATACTGATTTCATATGAATGAAATCCATTGTTCTTTCTGGAAGAATTCCTAAGGGTATTGGGTTATCAGGAATAGAAAGAGTAAGAAGCATACAACAGAAATCACGGCTCAGGCTGGCACGATCCCAAACCCTGGATGACGTGGCCCCAGGCTTCCATCCTGGTGTGGGCAGCAGCGGAGACAGGACGGACAGGACAGATGCCAAGCTGCCCTGATTTCCTTGACTTTCTCACTGACGGCTCCTCCCCGCATCCTGGGGTGGGGGGGAGCTCCTGGCCCTCCTAACTCCACCCTGGGACTCCTCCCCTTTCCGCTCCTTTGGCCCTAACACAAAGGCCACTTTGCTGCGTAGTCACGGTACACTGCAGCCCAGCCTTCCCCCCTCAGCTCCTGCCTTCAGAGGTCTCGTGTCTCCTGCAAAGGGACTCCCGTGTTCCCACTGCACAAAGCACTGGGCACCTTCCACTGCCTGACCCCACCCAAAACACACCCATTCAGTCCTTGCCCACAGCCCTGGGAGGTAGACGGATACTATGACTTTCTCTTTCAGAGGGGAAATTAAGGCACAGAAAAGTGACTAGCCAAAGGTTAGCACATTTAAACCTGGCTGGGTCAGAAATGGCTCCAGCCTACTTGCTTAACAAGGAGCTAAGCTAATACACCTAGGTAGGGGCTAGCACAACGGGACAAGCGCCTGCCTGGCAAGCATGAGGTCAAGTTGGATCCGATAACCCCCCCCAAAAAATTAAAAATAAATAAATAAAACACCCAGGTAATCCTAGCACTCTGGGAGGCTGAGGCAGAAAGATTTCAAGTTCGAGCCTAGCCTGGGCAACTTAGCGACATAATGAGACTCTGTCGCAAAAAAAAAAAAAAAAAAAATGCTTTTAAAAAGACTGGGATTCAGCTCAGTGTTAAGGCTTGGGTGCAGAAAAACCCTAACTAGGAACACAGAAACAGGGCTAGTTTTCTCCGCCAGGCATGCTGCCACCCCTCAGTGACAAGGCAGGTTCCGGTCACCACTGATCCTCGTTCCCCACCGACCCTCAGTGCCCCATCCTTGGTGCAGTCTGGACCACAGTCCCAGCCCCCTGGCCCTCACAGGCATGCTCCACCCGGCCAGCTGACTGACAAGTGCTGCCCGGCCTTTCTCCACCTGGGAATAGAGTTCTGGATCCGCATGTCCTTCCAATCCTCCCAGCCTCTCGCCAGCTGCCCACCCTTCCCCTTACCTTCCCTCAGCCACGCTCACTACCCTTTCACACAGGCCGACACCCCAAAGCCATGAAGCAGCGACGCCCTCTCCCCCCACTGGGACAGTGTGGCTGCGAGCAGGGAGGACATGCACGCCCTCCCGAATGTGGGGGAAAGGCCCTGAACTCCAGCAGGAAAAGTGCCCCCTGCTTCCCCAAAGAAAGGCAGACACGGGAGGAGGCAGCACACCCCTCCCCATCTCGGGGACCAAAAGGCTTCACCAAAGTACAACAGGGCGACCACTTCAAGCGGTAAGCTGGGTCACATGGAAGGGAAGAACACAGGCAGAACATGAGCAGCATGTAAATATTTACTGATTTGATTTGCAACAATGGAAAGAAAAGAAAAACTGCATTGCTCGGAAGCGCTGGTGAATCAGAACTTGTGCTAACAGAAGGGCAGCAGCTGGCCTTCCTGGCCTTGGAAGTCCCAGAATATCTCCAGGTGTCATCCGTACTTACTGGCTTCATCTATGAAGTCCAAGTTCCCTCTGAGTTCTGAACTGGAGACGCGGTACTCATCTGGATTGGCCAGGGCGCTCAGTAAAATCAGCAGAACCACGGCATTGATGAGCTGCAGGAGAGCAAACACAGGTGAGGAGCCGGGGACTTCCCAGACGACCTTGACCACTGCTGCAGGCAGGGCCAAGCCAAGGGAGAGGGCGGGAGTCCCACTCCCCTACCCTCTCCCCCCTACCCTGGCACAGGCCCCTGGTGCTGAGGGGCAGGCACAAGCGCACTCCCGCAGGCCAGGCCACTGAAGGCTGAGACCCGAGTTGCCCTGGGAGGTTTCTGACAGGACCAAACCTCGAGCAATGCTGGGCACGCAGGGACCAGGCTTGGGCAGTGAATGGGAGGCTCCTGGGGCTGGGCTTTTGCTCCTATAGTGCACAGTAATGGGGTGGAGTGGGGAGGCCAGCTCTGCTGAGGACATGGCCCTCTGCTATGGAGAGCGCCCACCAAGGCGGAGTCATGTTCCCCCCAGCTCCCATCTTGACTCCTTTTCTTATTCCTTATCCTCAAACTCAGAGTAACTAAGCTAGACATGGTGGCACATGTCTATAATCCCTCCGGAGGCCAGCCCGGGCCACACATTTGTCACTAACAATGCACAGGCTTATGTGAGGAAAAGGCTGGATTTAATTTCATCTTCATACATACAGGCAGGCCTGAGATAGACATTCCATCAGCGGGTGGTCCAGAGGAGGTTAAACTTCTATAGGGCTTGGGGGTTGGGTTGTAATCCCAAGGAATCTGGATGGAATGCGTGGGGTCAAAGTTCCTGGGATGTCAGCACAGGTATGGAGGTGATGCTGACATTCTGGCACCAGGGAGATTGTGTCTCCAGCCCCAGATTTCTTCATGGCCATCTGATCTGTTTGCTGAGGGCAGCTCGGCCCTTTTACTGATTTCCCATTGTTTGTAGCGCTTGGCATGTTTGCTGAGGTCTCCCTCAGGACAGGCCTGACAAAAGTGAGCCACTATCTCAAAAAAACAAAAACAATCACAGCAACCCCACTCATAATGAAAAGCAGACACACACAGGCACTGTGCTAAGCCCTTCTCTCTGTGGGGGCCTGCAATAACCTAATGAAACCGGGGCCCAAGGTTCCCCAGGTAATGATGCAAACTGAAGCCAAGCCGTGAGGAACAGGCCCAAGGCCACACGGCAATCGAATGGCAGGGAAAGGGCCGGAACCCGGAACCTGCACTCCCAGACTCACACCCAGCGGCCAGCGCCCCAGACCTGAGGCGGGCCCTGAGGAGACACTGGGTGAAGGGCCACAGCTGGGGCCCGAGGGTCCAGACTGGGGCTGCATCCTTCTCTACTGAGAAACCTGCGTTTTCCTCTTCTCAAAATCGAAAAATGTATTTGTAAAGCCTTCATAAAGAAAACGATTTTACCTACCAACACGAACGAAAGCACATGCTGCAACTATAAAACTGCACGCGGAAAGGGCGACTGCACTGGCTTCCAGGAAGGGCTCACTCAGGTCATCTGGGAGACACCCACGCGGGCCCACTGAAGTCCTCGGTGCGAGTGCTGGGGCCCTGGGGTTTGTTTTCCCTCCTCCTTCCTCCAAACCGTCTGCTCTAGTCTTCGGTTTCACACAGCAGAGCAGCTGGAACAGCCCTTCCCCAGAGTCCTCAGGACTAGAAATGGATCCCAAGCCGGGGCCACACAGCTCTCCGGGTGCACAGGGAGCATGGTGGGAAGTTGGTCGCCCTTCCTGCATGGTGCTTGGCTTGCTTTTCTCCAAAATCCCCAACACGTGACAGTGTACCTTAAAGAGTGCGACTAGCAAAGTCTACCGGAAGAAACTACTCAGAGGACAAGTTCAGGAGAGCACAGGCGGCCGGGGGGCCACGGAGTCACTGCTCCTGGTATCCATCCCCTCCACATCAGAAAAGAGGCACAGGAGAGAGCAGGCAAGCGGGCACGGTGCTGCACACCTGCAATCCCAGCACTCAGGAGGCTGAGGCAGGAGGATTGGTGCGAGTTCAAGAGCAGCCTGGGCTACAAAGTAAACTCAAGGCCAGCCTCACATGCATAGCAACACCTGCACCCCCCAACCCCCCAAAAAGAAAGAAAGAGCAAGCAAAATTTCATAGGAATATATATAACACTAGGAATATGCTTTGAAAAACACAAATTTGGAAGCCAGGCACACTAGTGCGTGTCTGTAATCTAGGAGGCTAGAGCAGCAGGATCAAGTTTGAGTCCAGCCTGGACAACTTAGCAAGATCCTGTCTCAACCTAAAAGATAAAGAAGGGCCGAGGATGTAGCTCAGTCCTGAGGCCCTGTGTTCGACTCCGTACCGTCAAAACGAAGCACAATCAACCCACACTTTGGAAAGCGTAGGTGAAGCTTTACAGGTAGGGTGGGAACGGGAAGATGTTACCGATGTTTCTCCTTTGTCACCGTTTGAGACAGGCTTACAATGAAGTTCTGACTGTCCTGGTTCTGACTTGAACATACTACATAGCCCAGTCTGGCTCTGAACTTGAGGCAGTTGTCCTGCCTCAGCCTCCTGGAGTAACGAACAGCCAGGCGCACTCCCACCTTGTATCACCTGTGCATGGCAGTCAGCGCACCAGGAGAGTTCAGTGCAGCCTCCTCTCTGCAGAGCGGGTCCTTGGCCCACACCTGTGCCCTGCTGCTCCCAGACTACTCGTCAGTCCCCGAGTCTCCAGCCAAGTAGCCCCTCTGTACCCACTATCACAGGAGCCCCGCTCTTGGCGAGGTGCCCAGACAGGCCAGGCTGGGTTACGTGGAAGGTGTGCTCCCACATGTGGCAACAACTCAGCCCTGCACTCTTTCATTGCAAGGCAAGCTGGGATGCCCCCCGACAAGGACTCGGTGGGCCCTGCGTCTGTCTGAACCATTATGGGCCACTGGCACAGCTCGTGGCGAATGCAGAGGGGAATCCAGGAAGACTCAAGTCGGCCAAAGTGGGGAGGGTGCAGGACAAGCCCTGGCGGCTCGTAAACACTCAGATGGAACAGGTCAAATAGAATTTGAAGCTTACCCCGTCGTGGTGGCACACACCCGTCACCCCAGTGTAAGGACAATACATCTAACACTATTAGAAATACACTATTAGAAATAACACTATTAGAAATACTCGGGGACTGTTAGAAATACATCTAACACTATTCGGACCTGCAGCCAGTTCCCACAGTTCCCAAATTACAAAACTCAGCCTTGCCATCCCCCACGCCAGCTGCGGTTTTTAAGATAAACTTAACTCAGCCAGACAGTGCGTCTTACTATGTTTTGCTCGCTTTCAAGTTTTCACCTCAAGGCAGCTCAGCTCAGTCTTAGACAATGATTGATTCTTCCCACTCACCACAACCCAGACCTCCTTGTTATATACTATATTAGCCCTAATTAGCTTATGTAACATGAATTCTGCCTAGCAATACAGGACAACTAACTATGTAATCATTTCTATGTAACCAACTATAGAAAATCCTGTTATATATCTCCTGATCATCTTTTGTACTTTCTGCCTAAAACATAAACAAATGTCTGTTTTTTCCCAAGATGGGGTTGATGATTCGGAACTCAGCCTGCTAGTGTAACAATGTTGTGTGCCTTCCAAAGTTCTCGGTGCTGTGTCTTCCTCTGGTCTGGTCCTGAATCCCACAACACCAACACTTGGGAGGTTGAGGCAGAAAGATTGCTGCAAGTTTGAGGCCAGCCTGGGCTATTGGTGAGTTCAAGGCCTCACAGCCAGCCTCTACTATGTAGTAAGACCCTGTCTCCAAAAAAACAAAAAAAGAATTTGAAGCCTCAGCCATATATGGTGGTGGCATATGCCTGTAGTCCTAGTCAGCCCCAGGGAAGCTGAGGCAGGAAGAATACCCAAGTTCAAGGCCAGTCTGAACTCTACAGCAAGACCCTATCTTAAAAAAAAACAAAGAACTGGGCAAGAACTTCCTGAGAAAATGGAAATCACTCAATCATCAGTGAGATGCAGAGGCAGGGGCAGGTCCAAAGTTGAAGTCTCTAGGTTAAGTTTAAGCAAAGAGCTGGCTGTTGAACATTTACTACAATTCTTCAAATGCAAGCAGGTCCCCCGGATTCAGCTGCACAGCCCACGACTCGACTTCCTCATGGGTGATGGTCTAAGCCAAGAAGCCGCCCTGCCACCTCTCTGGCTGCAGATCACTGAGACAGTGCCTTGTTATCAGTCTAGTAGGCAGGACTCCTGACTTGGGGAGGGGCGTGCAGCAGTGCGGCCACTGGCCCTTTGTTCACAGATGCAGTTTTGTGGGCTCCAGTCCACCACAAGCCCCAGCAGACCCTGCTTAACCACCCCTGCAGCAGGCTGGGAATTCTTTCCAGGGAAGTTTTCTACCAGCAGCTCATATCTCCTGAGGCTGGTCTGCAAAATTCGAGCAGCTGCCCCGGGGCAGAAGCCAGCCCAGGCGCCCTGAGGGGACTTGTTGGGTTCTGGTCCTTTCCTGCTTTTGGGACACAGGTCAGCAGCGCTCACAGTGGACAGAATGAACATGAGCAGAAGATAGCTCTGCACAGTGTAACACTGAGCTGTCCAAGGGTCACCGTGAGACTTCAAAGTGGTGGATAAGGGCGGCAAGAACAAATGTTTCCTCTTAGGTTTTGTTTTGAGACAAGGTCTCTATGTAATCAGGCTGGCCCTGACCTTGCTACATAGCCAACAGAGAATCTTCTGCCTCTCTCTGCCCAACAAATGCTGGATTACAGGCATGCACCACCATGCCCGGGCCTACAAGAATACTTTGAATTCCTGAATACAGAAAGGCAGAGGCTACCTTAGGGTGGGCAGCTGAGTCCTAAACTCTGTACAGGAAATCTGTCAAACCATAAGGCTGGGATGTGGGAAAAGGGAAAATACAAAAGCACCAAATGCCAACATTTCCTGTTTTGGGAGGGAGGCAGTTCTGGGGATGGAACCCAGGGCTTCACACTGAGTTACGTGTCCCAGCTCCTTTTCATTTTTATTTTGAAACAAGATCTCAGTACACTGCCAGATTGGGCTCAAACTTGGTGATCCTCTTGCTTCAGCCTCCCAGAGGGCTAGAAT